ACCCACCTGACGCACGACCACAGTAACCCACCTGACGCACGACCACAGTAACCCACCTGACGCACGACCACAGTAACCTACCTGACGCACGACCACAGTAACCCACCTGACGCACGACCACAGTAACCCACCTGACGCACGACCACAGTAACCCACCTGACGCACGACCACAGTAACCTACCTGACGCACGACCACAGTAACCCACCTGACGCACGACCACAGTAACCCACCTGACGCACGACCACAGTAACCCACCTGACGCACGACCACAGTAACCCACCTGACGCACGACCACAGTAACCTACCTGACGCACGACCACAGTAACCCACCTGACGCACGACCACAGTAACCCACCTGACGCACGACCACAGTAACCCACCTGACGCACGACCACAGTACCCCACCTGACGCACGACCACAGTAACCCACCTGACGCACGACCACAGTAACCCACCTGACGCACGACCACAGTAACCCACCTGACGCACGACCACAGTAACCCACCTGACGCACGACCACACTAACCCACCTGACGCACGACCACAGTAACCCACCTGACGCACGACCACAGTAACCCACCTGACGCACGACCACACTAACCCAAGAGGTCGTTATCCACCCTCTGCGTCACACTATGGTCGACTCCTGGGATTCTTCCTCCAATCACCTTCACTAAAGGCCTGATCCACCCGCCTGTTGCTGCTTCCCTGCCCTGTAAACTTATCTTAAGGTAAACCCCTGCCTTAAGGTGGGGAGGGGGGCGGGGCTCATCTATTTGTACTCGCGTATTCATGCCCCGCAAGGCCGAGCTTTATCTCTTGGGCCCCGCCAACACGGGCATCGGTCCTCTAATGTAACGACTCGCGACCTAAATTTCTATTGTTATATAACATCCTTGTTATATAATGTCTCTGGAGACCTGCATGCCACTTCATGTTGGGAGTGCCACCACCCCACATCAAGTGCCAGTGCCACCATCCCACATCAAGTGCCAGTGCCAGCATCCCACATCAAGTGCCAGTGCCACCATCCCACATCAAGTGCCAGTGCCAGCATCCCACATCAAGTGCCACCATCCCACATCAAGTGCCAGTGCCAGCATCCCACATCAAGTGCCACCATCCCACATCAAGTGCCAGTGCCAGCATCCCACATCAAGTGCCAGTGCCACCATCCCACATCAAGTGCCAGTGCCACCACCCCACATCAAGTGCCAGTGCCAGCATCCCACATCAAGTGCCAGTGCCACCACCCCACATCATAATAAAAATCACCTTAGCAATTTGGAGCCGAGGCATTCTTTTTATCGTGTCAGTCAGCGGCAGGGAAATTTTACGCGAAATTCCAAAGCCCTCATCAATATGCGTCCTAATTTCAAAAAATACATTTTTAAAGAATGGGAGAGGAAGGGAGAGGAAGGGAGGGGGAGGGAGAGGAAGGGAGGGGGAGGGAGAGGAAGGGAGGGGGAGAGAGGGGGGGTAGGGGGAGAAGGAAAAACAAGGCTGAGCGAAAATACACCCCACGCTCCCCCGGGGGGTGGGGGTGGGGATGGGGGGGGGTGATATATCGTTTTAAACAAGCTTAAGTACACATCACTATCCTGCTACTGTATATACGAGGGATTACGGAGTATATACAGATGGGATATATCCCATCTTATCCTGTGAGATGGGATATATATCTCACATCTCACAGGATGCTTAGTGAAACAACGACTCGGGAGATGACACGAGATGCCAGTCATAGTCTACCAGCCTCCACTACCACACTCTCGGTCCTAATATATAAACATGCAAGTATCTTTCGCTCGTGTCATTCTTTCTTCGCCATTACTTTACCTTTGTCTTCCCCCTTTCTACCTTCTGCCCCTTGTCTCCATCTCTCTTCCCTCCTTGTTACCCCTTTCTTCCCTCCCCCCTTTCGTAAAACCTCTCACCACCAACCTCCACCACCATCATCATTATTATTATTATGATGGTGAGGATGATAAGTGATGATAATACTAATGAGAAACTCTGTAGAAGCCATAATGAGGATTCGAACCTGCACACTGGGTACTCCCAAGCATACGCTCTCACCAACTCCGCCACGATGTGATGACCCTTTCCGACACTTAGTCTGACCATGAGCACAGCCACTGATGAATGGAGGTAGGGAATGAAAGAGGGCAGGAAGCGGCTGGGAGAGGAGACAGCATCAGGAGGCTGGGAGAGGAGACAGCATCAGGAGGCTGGGAGAGGAGACAGCATCAGGAGGCTGGGAGAGGAGACAGCATCAGGAGGCTGGGAAAGGACACAGCATCAGCAGGCTGGGACAGGACACAGCATCAGCAGGCTGGGACAGGACACAGCATCAGTAGGCTGGGACAGGACACAGCATCAGCAGGCTGGGACAGGAGACATAAGGAACGCAGTTCAGGAGACGGAGGAAACAAGTGAATGGAGGAGAGAGAGACAAATAAAAGGGAGACAGTACAGAAAAGTGCAAACAATAATTCCTCACGCTAATTATTACTAGGGTGGCAGGTGGCACCGGGCTCGGCCACCCACACAACCTTGCGAATTTAGAGATCAAAGGACACTATAGAAGTGAACTGCGTAATATTTAACTTTCATTTCACCCGGAATTCCGTCATATAAATAATTTATATATATATATATATATATATATATATATATATATATATATATGTCGTACCTAATAGCCAGAACGCACTTCTCAGCCAACTATGTATGGCCCAAGTTGCCTAATAAGCCAAGTTTTCATGAATTAATATATTTGTTCTAATTTTTTTCTTATGAAATGATAAAGCTACCCATTTCATTATGTATGAGGTCAATTTTTTTTTATTGGAGTTAAAATTAACGTAAATATATGACCGAACCTAACCAACCCTACCTAACCTAACCTATCTCTATCAGTTAGGTTAGGTTAGGTAGGTTAGGTAGTCGAAAAAACATTAATTCATGAAAACTTGGCTTATTAGGCAAATTGGGCCATACATAGTTGGCTGAGAAGTGCGTTCTGGCTATTAGGTACGACATATATATATATAGACATATATATATATATATATATATATATATATATATATATATATTTTATATATATTATATTTAAATACACATACACGCAAAACACACACGAACGTTTGCCGTGACCCCAGGCAACACAAGAGCCCGTGTGACCCCAGGCAACACAAGAGCCCGTGTGACCCCAGGCAACACAAGAGCCCGCGTGACCCCAGGCAACACAAGAGCCCGCGTGACCCCAGGCAACACAAGAGCCCGCGTGACCCCAGGCAACACAAGAGCCCGCGTGACCCCAGGCAACACAAGAGCCCGCGTGACCCCAGGCAACACAAGAGCCCGCGTGACCCCAGGCAACACAAGAGCCCGCGTGACCCCAGGCAACACAAGAGCCCGCGTGACCCCAGGCAACACAAGAGCCCGCGTGACCCCAGGCAACACAAGAGCCCGCGTGACCCCAGGCAACACAAGAGCCCGCGTGACCCCAGGCAACACAAGAGCCCGCGTGACCCCAGGCAACACAAGAGCCCGCGTGACCCCAGGGAACACAAGAGCCCGCGTGACCCCAGGCAACACAAGAGCCCGCGTGACCCCAGGCAACACAAGAGCCCGCGTGACCCCAGGCAACACAAGAGCCCGCGTGACCCCAGGCAACACAAGAGCCCGAGTGACCCCAGGCAACACAAGAGCCCGTGTGACCCCAGGCAACACAAGAGCCCGTGTGACCCCAGGCAACACAAGAGCCCGTGTGACCCCAGGCAACACAAGAGCCCGTGTGACCCCAGGCAACACAAGAGCCCGCGTGACCCCAGGCAACACAAGAGCCCGCGTGACCCCAGGCAACACAAGAGCCCGCGTGACCCCAGGCAACACAAGAGCCCGTGTGACCCCAGGCAACACAAGAGCGTGACCCCAGGAAATCGGGCCAATTCCCTCTTCTACTTTTTCTAATTGTCAATTAAAACCTGCACATTTTCTAGGGCCAGAACAAGTGTTTTTGCGTGTGAGTGTACCGGGTCACGGCGCGTGTACCGGGTCACGGCGCGTGTACCGGGTGCCCAGCCTGTCCTACAAAGAACGTCGCATTTCGCTCGTATGCGTTACGTAGGGCCAAGAATTGTCGCACTAGAAAATGGAAGCGGCGGCAGAAAGTGACGTACTGTCCCGTTTTCTGTTTTGGGTTCTCTGGCAGGTTAGGAGACGACACTTTAATCTCAAGAGACACCTTGAGGCAACGTCAAGGAGAGAGAGTGCAAAGGACTACCTTGCGAAGATTTCGGGGCTCAACGTCTCCGCGGCCCGGCCTTCTGGTTGCTGGCACACACACACACACCAGGAAGCAGCCCGTGACAGCTGACTAACTCCCAGTTACCTATTTACTGCTAGGTAACAGGGACATCAAGGTGAAAAAAACTCTGGCCATTGTTTCTCGCCGGCGCCCGGGATCGAACCCGGAACCACAGGATCACGCGTTCAGTGTTCTGTCCGCTCAGCCACCGGCTCCCGGAAGGGCACATTTCTGCCCCCCCCCCCACCACACCCCCCCACCCCCCCCCCCCCCTCCGTCCACATTACCAAAGAACAGTGAAACACTTGCTACGTAGTCAAGAGTTAACGCTCCAGAATTTGAAATGAGAAGGGAGGAAAAGAGAGAGAATAAAAGGGAGCGGATAAAAGGGGGGGGGGGTAGGATGTTGGAGCTGATAAAGGGGGGCAGGATGAGGAAGCGGATAAAGGGGGCAGGATGACGAAGCGGATAAAGGGGGCAGGATGACGAAGCGGATAAAGGGGGCAGGATGACGAAGCGGATAAAGGGGGCAGGATAAAGGGGGGCAGGATGAGGAAGCGGATAAAGGGGGCAGGATGAGGGAGAAGGATAAAGGGGGGCAGGATGAGGACGCGGATAAAGGGGGCAGGATGAGGAAGCGGATAACGGGGGCAGGATGAGGAAGCGGATAAAAGGGGCAGGATGAGGGAGAAGGATAAAGGGGGCAGGATGAGGGAGAAGGATAAAGGGGGCAGGATGAGGGAGAAGGATAAAGGGGGCAGGATGAGGGAGAAGGATAAAGGGGGCAGGATGAGGGAGAAGGATAAAGGGGGCAGGATGAGGGAGAAGGATAAAGGGGGCAGGATGAGGGAGAAGGATAAAGGGGGCAGGATGAGGAAGAAGGATAAAGGGGGCAGGATGAGGGAGAAGGATAAAGGGGGCAGGATGAGGGAGAAGGATAAAGGGGGCAGGATGAGGGAGAAGGATAAAGGGGGCAGGATGAGGGAGAAGGATCAAGGGGGCAGGATGAGGGAGAAGGATAAAGGGGGCAGGATGAGGGAGAAGGATAAAGGGGCAGAAGAAAACCATAAGCATTAAATCTGAATAAATCAGCACTTGTGAATAACGTCGCAGCCAACCTTGTTCCCTCAGCGCCCCTAGACACCTCCTGAGATGGGGAAGAGAGGCGGGGGGGGGGGAAGAGGGGAGGGGGGAAAGAGAGGGGATGGAAGGGAAGAAGGAGGGAAGAAGGAGGGGCAGATGAGAGGGGGGTGAGGAGGGAGTGTCAGGAGCAGGATAGTTTAACAACTGGGAGAAGAGCCTGGAGACGCCTGGGCTGTTATTATTATTAACATCTTTATTGACAAAATTAATTACAATTTTGCCTAATCTGAGGATTTTGATAGTCTTATTAAATTGAGGTTAATGCTAGTATTCACTGTCACGCAGGACAGAGGGTCATACATAAGACAATAGGCCTAAACTGTAGGCTGAAGCACATATATATCATGGTTACAATCAATGTTTTAATGTGTGGATATGTGAAAACAACTTTCTATTGTGCACTGCCACACAAGTGCAGGGATGGGTTCATAAGTGATACAGCTTAGAATATAAGTAGAAATTGTTCTTCATTCTTTAAAATGGACAAGCAAATTTTGGGTAAATTGTTAGGATGTCGTCCAGAACACCTGAGTCAATAAAATAGTTACACAGTTGGTGGTACAATAGGCCAGGAGGTCTAAAGTCCTTTACGGTTTCACATTCATCAATATAGTGTTCTAGTGAATGCATTAAAGGTTTATCACAGAGTTTACAATCTGAATATTCTGGTAGTGGCTCAGCCTCACTAACCTGCCAGATGTGTCTATAGCCAAGGCGAATTCGCGCGATTACTACATCACATTGCCTGGTCCGGTTACTGTGCTGACCATACAAATACCTATTATTACAGAACTTGTCATAACTTTTAATACTGCAGCTTTCAGGTCTCTGTGCATTTCTTAGTTCTTCTAAATCTGAATTAATTTCTTTAATTTGTATGTTTCTAATAACTGCATTAGATAGTCCAAAATCATAATCAATGTTTTCTTTCCTGCAAGCCTCATTGGCCAATTGATCTACAAAGTCATGTTTTTCAACTCCAACATGGGATGGGATCCACACAAATTTTATACAAGAATTATTATCATTGGCAAAAATTACATTCCATTTAATATTACAAGCTACTTCCGACATACATTGTGATGGGTTATTTAAGGACTGCAGAGCACTTTTAGAGTCACAGAAAATAACTCCACCACCATTGAGCTTAAGGTATTCAGTGGCTAGATAAATACCCAATAGCTCGGTCTGTGTCGTGCTTGCCCAGTTGTTCAATCTCTGTGTACTAGTCATGATCATTTCATTCCCTTTATACACTGCACATGCACAACCTGTTCTACCAGTGCCTAACTGCACAGAGCCATCAGTAAAGGCATAGGATTCAGTCGGTTTGAGAATTTGAAGAAGACTGTCAATAGCTTCTAATGTTATACATCTCAAAATGTCAGTGTTATACATTTGTTTTACACTGATGGGAGTATAATGCAGAGAGACCTCCACATCTTTCCAAGGGGGAATATAGTGAACAGTTTTATCAGGGTTAAGAGATACATTCAGTTTCTGAAGATTATAGACACAACAACTGAGCCACACACTGTAGGGAGCTTTTTGCGGCGGATTGAGGGAACAGTCAGAATTGTAAAACAGGTACCAAGCAAGAAAGCTGATAAGGCGGCCACCACCGAGACGGGCAGAGTAGAGAGACCTGACAAAGATGGAGGAGACAAGAGACCAAACACGGGAGAAGGGCACTCCAGAGACCTAATAAGGGGGGGGGGGGAGAGAGAAGGCAACTATGATGAGAAAGCGCCAAGCCATTACGACTATACAGCACTGGGAAGGGATCAGGATATGGATTTATCCTGACCCCCAAAGAGGTCAGACAAAGAGACAGACCAACAAACAAGCAGCCACCAGCAGGGGTCGACCCAGGTCATAATGACCACACAACACAAAGCAGCATTATAAAACAGTCGATATTCGTAGCTAAAATGGCAAAAAAAGTACACATAAAAGGCAGGTAACAAGACCAGTAAGCTTATCCTCAAGACCAGTAAGTGTATTCCATTTTATTCCAGTAAATGGAATGCATTAGGCAGTGATGTGGTGGAGGCTGACGCCATACACAGTTTCAAGTGTAGATATGATAGAGCCCAGTAGGCTCAGGAACCTGTACACCTGTTGATTGACAGTTGAGAGGCGGGACCAAAGAGCCAGAGCTGAACCGCCGCAAGCACAACTAGGTGAGAATTACATCTTGGGGAACTCGTGGCTAACGGAAGCCTGCCAACACCGGGTGCTAACGGAAGCCTGCCAACACCGGGTGCTAACGGAAGCCTGCCAACACCGGGTGCTAACGGAAGCCTGCCAACACCGGGTGCTAACGGAAGCCTGCCAACACCGGGTGCTAACGGAAGCCTGCCAACACCGGGTGCTAACGGAAGCCTGCCAACACCGGGTGCTAACGGAAACCTGCCAACACCGGGTGCTAACGGAAACCTGCCAACACCGGGTGCTAACGGAAGCCTGCCAACACCGGGTGCTAACGGAAGCCTGCCAACACCTGGTGCTAACGGAAGCCCGCCAACACCCGGTGCTAACGGAAGCCCGCCAACACCGGGTGCTAACGGAAGCCCGCCAACACCGGGTGCTAACGGAAGCCTGCCAACACCTGGTGCTAACGGAAGCCCGCCAACACCCGGTGCTAACGGAAGCCTACCAACACCGGGTGCTAACGGAAGCCCGCCAACACCGGATGCCAACGAAAGCCTGCCAACACCGGGTGCCAACGGAAGCCTTCCAACACCGGGTACTAACGGAAGCCTGCCAACACCGGGTACTAACTGAAGCCTACCAACACCGGGTACTAACGGAAGCCTGCCAACACCGGGTACTAACTGAAGCCTACCAACACCGGGTACTAACGGAAGCCTGCCAACACCGGGTACTAACTGAAGCCTACCAACACCGGGTACTAACGGAAGCCTGCCAACACCGGGTACTAACTGAAGCCTACCAACACCGGGTACTAACGGAAGCCTGCCAACACCGGGTACTAACGGAAGCCTACCAACACCGGGTACTAACGGAAGCCTGCCAACACCGGGTACTAACGGAAGCCTACCAACACCGGGTACTAACGGAAGCCTATCAACACCGGGTACTAACGGAAGCCTACCAACACCGGGTACTAACGGAAGCCTGCCAACACCGGGTACTAACGGAAGCCTACCAACACCGGGTACTAACGGAAGCCTACCAACACCGGGTACTAACGGAAGCCTACCAACACCGGGTACTAACGGAAGCCTGCCAACACCGGGTACTAACTGAAGCCCGCCAACACCGGGTACTAACGAAGCCTGCCAACACCGGGTACTAACGGAAGCCTGCCAACACCGGGTACTAACTGAAGCCTACCAACACCGGGTACTAACGGAAGCCTGCCAACACCGGGTACTAACTGAAGCCCGCCAACACCGGGTACTAACGGAAGCCTGCCAACACCGGGTACTAACGGAAGCCCGCCAACACCGGGTACTAACGGAAGCCTGCCAACACCGGGTACTAACGGAAGCCTGCCAACACCGGGTACTAACGGAAGCCTGCCAACACCGGGTACTAACTGAAGCCTACCAACACCGGGTGCCAACGGAAGCCTGCCAACACCGGGTACCAACGGAAGCCTGCCAACACCGGGTACCAACGGAAGCCTGCCAACACCGGGTACCAACGGAAGCCTGCCAACACCGGGTACTAACGGAAGCCTGCCAACACCGGGTACTAACGGAAGCCTGCCAACACCGGGTACTAACTGAAGCCTGCCAACACCGGGTACCAACGGAAGCCTGCCAACACCGGGTACTAACTGAAGCCTGCCAACACCGGGTACTAACTGAAGCCTGCCAACACCGGGTACTAACGGAAGCCTGCCAACACCGGGTACTAACTGAAGCCTGCCAACACCGGGTACTAACGGAAGCCTGCCAACACCGGGTACTAACTGAAGCCTGCCAACACCGGGTACTAACGGAAGCCTGCCAACACCGGGTACTAACTGAAGCCTGCCAACACCGGGTACTAACGGAAGCCTACCAACACCGGGTACTAACGGAAGCCTGCCAACATGAAAAACACGAGACACTCAACTAATCAGAAATCCCGCAGTGGGAGACTAAAAATGTACATCATCAATTCAAAAATCTTTCCCGTCAGAGAGCGTTACAGGGGATAGGGGAGAGTGCGGGCGTCCCCTCACCCTACCTCCGCTTCCCCTCAAAAGACCAGCAGGCGGCGTCCGAGGGGAGGTAGGCTGGGCCTCGTTCAGTACACTGTGCTCCCCCCCCCCCCCTCATTACCAGGGGCAGCAAGAGCGGCCTTGGGAGAGGGTGCTCATGTCTCCAGTCTCTTACTGGTCCATATCTTCCACCCTCCGGGGTCGGTTGTGGGGACGAGGCCCCTCCCTCCCCCTCTCTCTCTCTCCCCTTACGCACACATCTCAGATTTTGTGAGTTTATATATATATATGTATATATGTGTGTGTGTAAATCATGAAAATAAACGTGATTAAAAATGTGACAGTGTCAGACCACGGAGGAAAATCGAAACAGGAATTTCCTTAAGTACTTTCGTATATTAATACATCTTCAGGAGGAGTCAGTGTAGGGACCCATAGCCTCGGAGAAAAAAATAAAGAGTACTCAGAGAAGACCTTGTGGATCCTCACTGACCGCTTTGATATTTCCTTCTCCTACCACCCCTATTCTTTTTGTATGTGTGTATATATATCTAACTTTATTTTAAAATTTCATTACACAAAAAGGGTTACACCATTGGTTACATACAAGGTACAAGGCTACTTGTCACAGATTGTATAGCTCCTCCAGCTCCTCAGATGGCGGGCAAGAACCATGGATGCACTGAGCATTTCCTCTCTGGATCGCCACACTAAGGCGCTGAGAATTGTATCACCCAGCCCTTGTGTTGACCCCGTT